GAAGATTACCCGCTGAGCTGGAGGAGGATGCATACACTCATCAGCACGGTTCAGCGCCACCCCTACAGGTTTCTTCTCCTTGGTCCACCGATGGCCGCGGCTCTAATCTAGTCGTCCACCCGGATCAGCATCAGCACTCACGCCGTCGTGCGGATAAGGAGGGGAGTTGTGCACCAGGGGCCGGTGGCGCCTACTTCTCTTCCCTCTCTAACACCCCTGTCAATGAACGGGAAAGCCGTCCACCTGGAAAGCGCCGAGGTAAGTGTTCCGTGTTACTTAATTTGTGATAAAAAACTAAGTAACTAACTGACCCTTGGATTCGAGCCAGGCCGGTCGAAGGTGAGACTGGGTGCAGTAGTAGTTGAAGTGGTATGAACTCTCGGACTATAGCGTATCGCAGAAAGATTCACGTCTACGTTGCATTGCCCATCACTATCGGTATTGGTGAAGTCAACTTCATTGTTGTTGTGTGAGCAGTGACTTACGTTTCGTTGACTATTTTTACGTATTGGTCAGGTCCTTGCCGTTCGCGAATGTCCAGGGGCAGTAAGGCGTACCTGACGGGTGTTGGCCGCGGCTCATGGCAATGGGTACTAATTTGTGCAGTGACGGGTTCGCAGGTATCAGGCCAAGCCAGTATTGCTGTCTGGTAGGTAACCACCACCTTTTCGCATTGCGGTAATTTCGGTCGATGTGGGACAGGTGAGGAACATGTCCAACAGTTGGTTTGTCGTGAGCCGCGCCGCAGTGTAACTGGCACAAGGAATCAATGCGCTTTTACGCCATTTACGCAGTTGTTGTCTCGTATGCTAACTTCAGTGTGCCCACTTTGAAAAATCGGGCGCTATGCTGGCAAGCGATCCAGTGTGATCTCCGTAACCTGAATACGCCTGGCTGTCGTGGTAGCAGCTGGAAGGGTGACGAGGTCGTCGTGTGTCCTTGCGCGTCACTAATGTGGGACCCTTGAAGTTGTTTGACTAGGGCAGACCGGAACCGGAGAGATGCGACCACAACGAAGGCAGCTGCTGGAAGTATTTTCAGCTGTCTTTCGGCGTTTTCTTGGATTCAAGTGATCGCGTTGGCATTGCGGAAGAACCCGGAGGTGTCCCACAACAGCAACCTCGGTCCACAGCGTGCTCTGATGGTATTAACAAAAGTTGTCAAAAGCTGGTCACATGTCTGACCGTCGAATCCGACGATGTCCACCGCGTTTGCCTACACCAGCCTGAAGGCAAACGCGAGTAAATTATGCGTGAAATAATTTTTTTAATGTGATAGTAGACTTGCGTTGCATCTACCGCATCCTCGCGTCTCTCACCTGCACGTGCCCGGAGTCAAGACGGTCGGAGGCAGGGTCGGGCGCGTGCGACACATACACACGCAGTGTTATAGCCTTCCTTGCTCTGGTAAGGCAGGCATTAGGCGCAGGTGACAGTGCGGCTTGACCCTGGACCTGCTCATGCCACCACGCTCCTTGGTCAACAACAAATAACTCCCCAGGGTTTTAACCCTACAACACCGGGGCTGGAAACGACGACACGGATTCCAGCTCACACAGACGGGGCCTCCGTGTTACACACGCACTCCATCCTACACCACCTGGTCACAGTCTGCAATTGACCAGGATTTTAACACATCAGGGGTTAGGTGCGACAGTTTAGGTGCCAGCTAACTTGTACTCTTCTCAGCTCTGAGCATGCTTGATCTAACCGGCTTCAGTTATTTCACGCAGGCTACATATCCACGAGTAATGATTGGCAGCAGCGAATCTGGAAAACTCAACCCAGTCTCTTTTCCATCGACGGGGACCGAAGGTCCAAGAACCACTTCCGTGTCTTGACGAACGGTATCGAGCCAAGTTTTGAGTTGCCCACGTCTTCGGCGCTTCCAGGTGGGCTACAGTGCCAGATCGATGCAGGTTAGCACAACTCCTAAGGCGGACGACGGAGAACGTGCCCAAACCGCCTTAGTCGTCTTTCTTGGATGGCCTGAGGTATCCTCGCGATACGATCGCAGCGAGTGTGGACTGCCTCAATCGCGATGAAGTCGGTATACTTTACTCGAAGGGTGGTCGTCAGGCCGTAATAATCTAATGTCTTCTGTCGTTGCTCACCTTCCAAGCGCAAAGCCGTGGGGTCACCTCCATAGAGGAGGAATGACCGGAAGGATGCAGGGTACACACGGATATCCGTGGCTATGGAGATATTGCATCGGATGCATAGGCAATTTCGGAGGATTGAGAAAACCCAACGAACAGCATCGATTCGGGAGACAATGTCATCCTTATTCTGACCATTCGGTAGCAGCCTCGCAGCTCCGAGGTATTTAAAGCTGTCTACTTCGACTTCAAGCTGACGGTCGTTTATTCCCCCAGGGATACCTTCTCCTGGCCAGGGATACAGCTCGAGAACAATTTTATTCCTCTCAACTAACGGCAGCACGTCAATCGAACCATATGGCATAAGTGTCACCCCAGCACTGTAATCAAACTCGGTTATAAATCAGGGGTAACAACGGAATTTGTTTTTGACTGACCGGCTGACAGCACATTGTCAGTAAAGAGTGTGCTGTCGACCGCATGTAACACCGCGCACAAATCACACACACACCGGCAAATTCTTTGTCGCTGCTGCCAGCATCTCAAAACCGCTGGCGACTAGACCACGACAGAGCAGCTAATGCATATATATATATATATATATATATATATAAAACTGTTGGCAGCCGAAAAGACGCATTAGAAATGATGGAGGCGTCACTCCCACAGACGACATAGGTAAAAAAAGGGGGGAAGGCGATTAGGTAGGAATCTCGCCATCCACAGCAGAAATAATTAATATCTCCGGCGTCAACCGACGTCAAAACGACGACGGGGGGATGTGGCCTCAAATTTTACGATATAGCAAACAAGCAGCTCGAGCAGGGGAGATACCCTTCGTGAACCCTCGACAAAGTAAAGTGTAGGTAGCGGTTATTGTTGCATTGCAGTGAAACTACTCCAGCCCAAACACTGCCCGTCCGTGATGTTTACTTCCGCGCACAGTCTCGCTTTCAGTATTGGTTGTAGGCTAAAACGGTCTGTGTCCTGTTTAACAGCCATCTAATACGATGTGAATTATACCTACCGGTCTGGTGTCCGACAGGGCTGCGTCCTGTCGCTCATTCTGTTTAACTACGTCATTGATTAGATTCTCGGGAAGGCTCTACGTGAAAAAGACGGTGTTGAGCTTGCACCCGGACGCCGGCTGACTGATGTCGACTACGCCGATCATATCGCACTGCTAGCCTCAAGCTTCGGTGGTCTGCAGTCTGCGGTATCGCAGGTGAATGAGATCGCTATTTCGGTTGGCATGTCTATAAATTCCGGAAAGACAAAGTTATTCTCGAGCTCAATCCCTGACCGGGAGAAAGCACCCTTGGGGATCAACTTGAAGAAGTAGACAGGTTTAAATACCTCGGGGCGAAACTGCTACCGAATGGGCAGAGTAAGGATTACATTTTCTCTCGCATCAATGCTGCTCGCTGGGTATTCTCAATTTCTTCGAAAGCGCCTATGGATCCGACGCGACATCTCCATTGCCACGAAGATTCGTTTATACCGTGCATCCATCCGGTCAGTCATCCTCTATGGATGTGAATGCTGGGCTTTGCGCGCTGAACATAAGCGAAGACTGGAGGTCTTTGACCACTGCTACCTGAGAACTATCCTGTGAGTTAAGTGTACCGAATTCCTCTCGAATGAGACAGTCCGCTGTCGCTGTGATCGTATCATGAGGATATCTCAGGCCATTCAAGAATGGCGACTGAGGCGGTTTGGGCACGTTCTCCGTCGTTCACCCCACGAGCTTTCTTTTGCTGTCCTCGACCCGGCACCGCAGCCCACCTGGAGTCGTCGAAGAGGAGGGCAACTAAAGACTTGGCTCGGCACCGTCCTTAAAGACATGGAAGCAGTTCTTGGACCTATCTTCGTCGCTGGAGAAGAGATTTGGTGGAGCTTTTCAGATCCACTGCCGCCAATCGTTACGCATGGAGGAGTACCGTCCGTGACATCATCGAGGTCAGCTATATCAGGCATGATCACAGCCGTACCAAGTACACGTAGTACCATTTGTTTGCTAACGCTCACGCAAGGCACGCATTTGAGTATATTACTAGAAATCAATTACTAAAAAAGACAGGTAGGGGGTTAACGTTCTCGCTTTTTTTTCTTCGGTCTTTCTCCATCTAGCATCAGGCAGTATTTCACAACAGCACTGACGATGTAAGAGTAGGCAAGCGCACAGCTTGGTCCCTAGTAAAGCCGGTACCTGTCCGCGTCCAGGTACACAACATTCCTAGCCTGAATTACCACCTTAAACGAATGACTTTAATCGCCGTAGTTAACGTATTAATAGGTAATTCGGAAGGCAGGATAATAAACTTCAGACCACATCTCACCTTCAGAGCACTTTTCTTAGCTTCTGAGATCGGGAGGTGCAGCTGTAGCCCAACTGGGACAACACTGTTATTTAAGTGTAGACAGCTTTACGCGGACGATTGACCTGTCGGTTTTGCAAATGTGTTAAGTGTAACGTAAAAGAGGCGGCAGGCGGCAGAATCAGCCTTCGACCACTTCCTGTAAAGTTTACCGATGCTGGCGAATCGTGAACCGTGATCCCAAAAGAACCCCTATCTGCGCATGACGCAGACTATTGTACCACTACCCATGATTAAGGGTTCCCGACGGAATCCGAAACCTCAGGACAATAGAACTCTCGTTCCAGTAGCTTCATCTCCTTCTTCTGAACTGCTTCCTGGAATTCGCATATTCACCTCTATTGACAAAGGGATCCCGGTTGAAGACCTGCGGTAAATCATTTGAGCAAGGTTAGGGGCCAGGCAGTTGGGGAGGTGACTAAAAGTCACGCACAGGTACCATGGGGCCAAGGACCAATGCTCAGTATATGCTCGGCCTGAGAAATGAAATGGAGGAGAGGAAAATTGTAAAGTGGGGCTGTGCTCTGAAAAGTATCATTTGAAGAATTCAATGCTGAAAGCTGTGGCTTGGTTTGCTGATTGCGGTAGTACGACGAAGAACCAGAAGAAGAGTTCACGAAGAAGAACTCGGGCAGAACGCGAGTCTGGGCGTCTCGGCGGAACTGCGTGAGTCAGGCAAAATTTTATGTTTTGCAGTTATCTAACTAAGTATCAGAAAGGAACTCCACATTAAAAAAAGTAACATTTTTTCCAAGGGAAGCAGGTCAAACACATGCTATGTAAAATAAAATTTTCGAACGACAACAATAATAGACTTACGGCGTTTTGACTTTCTGGTGTAAAGATCAAAAAGGTTTCAAATGAGTTCCCGTTTGCAAACACTGAGCGTAGTGTGCATAGTTGGTCTCTAAGAAAATGCCGCCTGACTGGTAGTTGGAACAGTCTTGCTCATCTGCCTTATGGGAAATACTGACGTCACGTACCCATAACTAGCCAC